AGCTCGAAAATGGACTGCCTGTCGTCCATTCCATTCGGATCACGAAAATTGTGCAACACAGAAGTCTGGTCGGAAATGTTGTGCCTCCTTTTTGCTGGAGCATGATTGACACGTGGCCTATGGACGCGACGTTTTAAGGCAATGATTTGATCACTAACTGGCATGGCCCGAGATGAGTCTGTCTCATGGCAATGTTATTTTTGAGAGGAAAAAAAATAAACGTTCCTGTTTAATTATACAGCCATCTCTAATCCCCTACAGCTGATCTGTCAAACAGGAAGCTTGTTCCAGTCTAAACAGCGATCCTATTTTTTGAGAGAATTGCGTATCCGACAGCGAGGGAACAATGAAAGGTCAAATGACATTTCTAGTCCAGATGAAAGTTGTCAAAACATTGTCCCATTGTTGCTTCCATATTCCTGTGCTAACCACACTCCTCCGTCAAACCGTTGTCGAGGCGGAAAGTCTCGATGATCTGTGAAAGTTTGTTGGCAGGTCTATCAAGTATGCTCATAGCATTTATCAACTCTGTGGTGTATAGCAGAGAAAGCGATTAAAACTAAAGCCTCTGTAATGTTGTTGGTGAGATGGAAGTGGTCAGCTCTACATCAAGCGTTGGAATGCAACCAATGCCGTACTTAAGCATTCATCCATTGCAGTTCGCATCGCTGTTACCCCATCCTCTCGGTACAGTTCTGACACTTTGACAACGTCTGCTCTCTCCACATGCTGACTTTTATCTCCTACAAAGGTCACATTCCAAACGTGGATATGAAATTGCTTTTTTGGGCTTTAAAAATGACCTTCTGAGGTAACGCAACCCCAATGTCACCGCAACCAGTGGTATTTGGTTGATGCGATGAAAATTAAGTATTATTTATGAAGATAAAGTGAGATCAAAAGTTAACGGATTGCTTCTTTTACATATGGGGATGGGAACTTCCAGTACTCATGCTAATAATCAAAGCGGAAATAGAGGTCCTAATTTCAGTGACAAGCACTGACAACCAGTGGCAAGATCTCGATGTTAATGCGATGAAACAGGAGGCTTCCCATCTTTCTCCATTTCAGCCCTGTGATTACGACGTGGCTCTTGGACACTGAGGGGACCTTAGTGATCACCCCACCACCTCTTTGTTCTTCAAACAATCCGCGATAATTAGTCTGCTTGA